AGCTATTACATCCTAAGCATAGGTCAAGTTAATCAAATTGTAGTAATTTATACTTGTTTCCTTTATCACATTTCTTTATCATCTTTATTCGAGTTCTGACTATCAATCCATCAAAGCAAGGTCGAATGGGTACTGTCTGCACATTTGAATGTTCTTGTGTGTCTCCCTTCACTTCATATTAGCTGGATGCTTCACTCTCAGCCCTCTGTGGCTAGGTCCTTGTCAATGGGCTTAGGAGTCCCCAGGTCTCACCACCCTTCAGACCAATCAGCCCTTCCTTTTCTCTCTCTCATCTCCAGGTCAGTGGGAGTCTTTGGAATGTGGTCCAACTCAGCCTGTATCTTCATTGTTGCCTTTCTCCCTCTTCCACTCACCAGTACACCAACATGGTCCCTAGAAAGCTTACATGCCTGCTCGTGTGTTCCCTTTGAGTTTCAGTTTTGCAGGAGGATTTGTCCTGAAGCAACTTGATGAACTTTGCTTTTTTGCTTAAGGTTTAAATGCCCATCACTTGGCTGTGAACTTTTGCAACCTGCCATAAATTCTGTCAGAAATTCAGCTACCCCAAGAGTTTTTCCAACTGGATCTCTCATGAATTCCATGGCCAGTGCTCAGCCAAACTTTCAAAGTGATAGGAACAAAGTTTGGAAGTGGAGCCACTCTTAATTCCTGTGTTTTGTTTTTCTTTAAACTATGCACATAAATTATCTTATTGTAAAAATAAGTAAAAAAAAAAAATATATATATATATTTAACATTAAAAAGACTGCTCTCTGAAGAAATATCTCAGAAAGGAAAATCCTTATCATTCAATGTTGTGGGAAGGTCGTTGGATTTAGAAACAGAAAACTTGGATTTTTGCTTTTTGATAAAGTCACTGACTTTTGTCTTTTTCATCTGTAATATGGAAAAAACCCTCTTGTTTTGAGGATCAGAACAATGCATGCATCTGAAAGCCCTTTGTAAAGAGTCCCATCTCCTAGATATGGAGGGAAGCCCTTGTGAAACAGGAAAACATTTGGGCAGCTGTTGAGCTGGATTCATAGTGACCCTGTGTAGGGGTTCCAAGGTATGGATGGTGGGTTCCAACTGCCAAATTTACGATGATCAGTCCAGTGCTTATCCTACAGCGCCACTCCAGAACTCCAAAAACCAATGTCAAAGCACCCAGCAAAAGTGGACTTGCCCAGCTGGAGTTCTCAGCTGGGTCTCAAGGGCAGAATCCAACCCTGAAGTTGGAACTGACTCATGGGAGGAAGGATTCTTTCCTGGGTTCTACTTAATTCACAAGAGTGGTTTTCTTAGAATCCTTTATCTGCCCTGTTAGTTGGAATTTCATAAAGACAAGATTCCTGTTAGTTCCATAAGTCTTTTGTAGATTCCATTACTGTAGAGTTGTGTGCTCACCTATTTGTGACTAATGACAGCAAGGCAAATATTAATGAGGATATCACAGTTTACTACAACCTGTTATCATAAAACATTAAAAATTAACTACTCTGGAAAACAAACACACCAAGGGCAGTGGTAGTCTTGGAATCTTTATAGCTCATTTATACTTATGAGCTGATCCAAAATCAAAGTATGTTCTTAACAGCATTCCACTGCACTCAGCAAATACTGTTGTTAGGTGCCTTCAAGTGGGTTCTGACTCATAACAACATTATGCACAACAGAAGGATTGGTTGGTTATGTGCCGTGGAGTTGGTTCCAACTTATAGCAACCCTGCATAGGGTTTCCGAAGCTGTAAATCTTTATGGGAGCAGAAAGCCTCATCTTTCTCCCAGTGAACAGCTGGTAGTTTTGAACTGCTGACCTTGAGGTTAGCAGCCTGACTCGTAACCACTACACTACCAGAGCTCCTTAGCAGAAAAATTGGGGGCCTTTAATTTAGTTGACTTTATGGTGACAAGGTAGAAACATGGGTTTGGAGCAACATTAGGAATTGTTGCTGATGTTGTTAAGTGCCATTGTGTTGGTTCCAACTCATAGTGACCCTGTAGAGGGTTTCCAAGGACTGACTGGTGGGTGTGAACTGCTGATCTAATGGTTAGCTGTCCAGTGCTTATCTGAAAGTGCCACATAGTACCACACATTTTCACTTGGAGCTAGGCTAATACCCCACAGGGGACCCTTTCCTCCTTCACAGGGAGCAGGAAGGGACAGGCCCAGGACCTGTGATGGGGATGTGTTCTCAGCTGCAGGAAGTTCTTAGGTCCAGCCCATGAAGTCAATCCTTCCTAATTTAACGATGAATCTGCTGAGAAGTGGAGAGTGGAGCTACTTTTCCAAGGTCACTCAGACCTGTGGCTGGGGTTAAAATTCAGGTCTTCTACCTGGGTGGGGTATGGTGGTAATGGTGGCAGTACATTCTAAGTCACTATCTCCTCTCCAGTCTCCTTCTCCACTAGGGGATATTAGATCCCCTAGAGTCCCTGAGTGATACAAATGGTTGACGCACTAAACTGCTAACCCAAAGTTTGGAAGTTTGAGTCCATTCAGAAGCACCTGGCAGTATACTTCCAAAAAAATTGTTCTTGTTGATAAGTGCCCTAGAGTCAGTTCTGACTCATGTAGGTCTTTACAGGAATGATTGGTGAATTTAAACTGCCAACCTTGTGGCTCAAACTGACCTTGTGGTCCTGTGCTTATCCTACAATACCACATCAGGACTCAAAAAAATTAGTCATTAAAAACCCTGTGGAACACAGTTCTACTCTGACACACAGAGGGCTCTATGAGTTGGAGTTAGCTGTACAGTCACAGGTTTATTAGGTTCCCTGGGAAATCTGAGAGGAGATGAGCTAAGACATTGTGGTGGATGGGGCAAGGGTGAGGGTGGGGGGGTGGTTGGATGAGGTGCAGAAGGGGCCAGTGCTTATTAGGACATGTGTATGAGTTGATAATGGACAAGGTTTCTGCCAAACAAGAGGCTGGGGATAGGGATTCAATTGTAAGGTCACTGGAGGCCCCTGAGGAGCTTCATCAGGGTGGAAAGAGGGGAGGGAGATTAGAAAAGAAAGAAGTACAACAGTGCTGCCACCAGCCCTGGACCTGCTCCTTTGCAAGACCTAAAAGACATTGGATTTCATGCAATAAAACAGCTCTTGTATCCTATCTAGGGGTAATCTGGTTTTTTCCATATCTAGAGATTTGAAAACACAAGATTCCCCACCATCCATCATTGCTTAATGCTACCATTCCTGGTAGTGTTTTGAAGACTTGAAAATTCATTTTGGGTGACCAAGCGCTCTCTGTTGGTCTAAATAAGCAACTACACTAACCAAGCCCTTTGAAGGTTTCCCACAGCTTTGTGGGTCAGTTAAAATAGACAGAGGAAGGGAGAAATAGAGGTGGTGGGGAAACCTGCATTAAGAACATAATAGTGAATTCAGGGGTGAAGGGAAACTATACATGCGAATTTAGGTAAAACCATGTAACTCTAAGCCTGTCATGCAAGGGGAGTTTAGTGATGCTCTGGATGTTTGAATCATGACGGACTCCATCTGGGCCTGGAAGCAAAGATTATGCTGTTGCTGAAGTTTCTCTCCACTCAGGGGTGACCTGGGGTCACCTCATAGACTCTATAGCACTCACATTTGATTTGGGGAATAGGTCTGATAATCCACTGATCACTGAGATGTAAACGATGGATAACAATGTAAAGCAGCAGTTCACAAAGAGGGTTGTGATGAACCTCAGGTTCATGAGCAAAAAGAGGACTAAGGTTAAATAAGTGTTTGAAATGTTGCATACCACGTTTCCCTCCCAGGACTATGCGTGACTTTAACAGCTGAGAAGTTGTAAGCAAATTACCTTAACTTTATTTAACAATTCACAGACTTTTTGGACCATGGAATCCTTTCTCTCTCTCTCTCTCTCTGTGTATGTGTGGTGTGAGTGTATGTTTTCTGCGAAATTCAGGAACAGAGTGTGACTCTCCTTTAAATGTTCACATTTTTGCTGGGGATAAATACATTGTTAAGGAGTCCTGGTGTGGTGCTGTGGGTTAAAGCTCCAGACTGCAAAGCCATTTGAACTGCAAGGTCGGTGGTTCAAGCTCACCAGTCACTCCTCAGAAACCCTATAAAGGGTCGCTGTGGGTTGGAACTGATTTGATGGCACTTAACAACAGCAACAAATACATTGTTAGTTGTCATTGAGTTGGCTCTGACTCATGGTGACCTTACGTAAAACAGAATGAAACTTTGTCTGGTTCTGTTCCATCTTCATGATGATTGTTGGCATGGCTGAGTCCATTGGTTCTGAGCCAGCTTTATGATGATTGCTGGCATGTTGGAGTCCATTTGTTCTACGTCATCTTCATGATGACTGTTGACATGTTTGAGTCCATTGTGGCCACTGTGCCCATCCACCTTTCTGAGGGCTTCCTTGCTTTCACCAACCCTCTGTTTTACCAACCATGATATCAACAGAAAAGAACACTACGTTTAGGAGTCCTGGTTGCTCTGTAGGATAAACATTGGAATGCCAGCCCCAGGATCAGCAGTTCAAACCCACCATCTACTCTGAGGGAGACAGATGAGGCAGTCTGCTCCCATAAAGAGTTACAGTGTTGGAAACACTAAATAGGATGTCTGTGAATCAGAATCAACTCAAAGGCAGTGGGTTTGGTATAAATATATGAATCTCAAATTGTAGAATGTCAGTCAAAGGGTAAGAGGGAGGGGGCCAAGCATCCTCCAAGAAAACACAAAAACCAATTCCAACTCATAGTGACCCTGTATTGTGTTTCCAAGGCTGTAAATCTTTATAGGAACAGAGAGCCTCATCTTTCTCCCAAGGAGAAGCTGGTGGGTTTGAACTGCCTGCCTTATGCTTAGCAGTGCTTGTACTACAGCACCACCATCACACCCTCCTACTCAGGAGAGGACTTCTTCTAGCCCTTCCATGATTGTCCTTGTAGCTCAGGAATTGGGCACACCCTGCGATCAGCTGGCCTCTCCCACTCGTAACTCTGGTTCTCTTCTCCTTTTAGGCAGACATCTTCTCTGGGGCCATTTTCATCAACCTGGCCTTGGGCTTGGATCTATACCTGGCCATTTTTCTTTTATTGGCAATCACTGGCCTTTACACTATCACAGGTAAGTCCATTCAATGGATCCAGCTGCTCAAGCCCAGATCAGGGATGGAATTGTGAAAAATAAAAGTAAGTTTGAAACATGGCTTCTCCTCTCAGGGAGGAGCAATAAGCACCCAGGAAGCAGTTTGTAAAAAGAGTATTTTTTTGACCAAAACTTACAGACCCCCCAAAAAGTTATATGGATGGTTTCAGAAATCTCCAGTGTTGAGGTTCATGGTCACTTCTTATGGGAGATAGGGTAGGACTTGGTCTTGCAGGTATGGAGAGCCCCTGGCTCAGTTGAAGAATCAGGGAGGGAGCTTCAGCCTTAAGGAATGGCATAAGCAGAGGAATGGGGGTCAGGATGGGTATCACAAGGGACGGGAGGTAGGGTGAGCAAGGTGGTCTAGTAGAGATGGGGATTATCAATGATAAGACTTGATATTTCAAGCGAGATTACACTATAAGGCACTTTAGAAGCCTTGGTGGCATAGTGGTTAAGTTCTTGGCTGATTAACTGCAAGATCGGTGGTTTGAACCCACCAGTTTCTTCACAGATGAAAGATGTGACTGTCTGCTTCCATAAAGATTTACAGTTTGGAAACCCTATGAGGCAGCTCTACTGTGTCCTAGAAGGTCCTTATGAGTCAGAGCTGACTCAATAGCATCAGGTTTGGTTGGGGTTAGAGGCGACATGGAAGCCAGAGGCTTTGGGCACCAATGTAGGGAGGGAGGGAAGAGGGAAGTGACACATAGAAAGATGTTTTAGAGAAGGACTCAAGAGGTGACCATAGGAGTTGGTGACACAAATAACAATCAGAAACATCTTTGTAGAAGTGTTATGTTGGCCAGTTTGGGGGCAGGGTCAGCAATGGGATTTACTGTTCAGATAGAACTCCACCCTGGATTGCTGTTCCAGTTAGATTTGGAGGTAAAATGTTACTTAGATGGTCTGAGGAAAGAGTTATCAAGTAGTCCTTTGAAATGTGTCAGTTTACCTGAGTCCATGGACAAGGACATAGCCACAGAGGGCTAGAGTTGAGAGTGAAGCATCCAGCTGATATGAAGTGAGGGAGATGTACAAGAACACCTAAACTTGAAGATAGTACCCATTTGATTGATCTAGCCTCAAAGGCTTGATAATCAGAACTCAACTAGAGGAAGATTAAAAAAATTTTTTTTGGATAAAGGAACTGAGGGTAAATTGCTACAATTTGATGAACTTGACCTATACTCATGGAGGTACTAGCTCAAAATACCAACAGAGATGGAAGGAGTCTTCACATTAAGTATCAATGCTATCCCCTCTGTATACAGGGTAGATAGGGTTGGGCAACTTAGACATCGGCTACCTAAAATGAGGGAGTGATAAAGGCATGAAGTGACTGGCTTACAAGGTTTCAAGAGGGAGTTTAGTTTAAGAGTGTGAAAAAAAAAGAAAGAAATGTGTCAGTTTGGTAATGTTCCCATACCTCTCTGCAATCTGTTCTTTCTGCTTCCCAACCTTTGTGGAAAATTCTCACCATAGGAGAACCATCTTCTTAACCCATCTTCTGTCTTAACGGGACACCTCACTCAAAAAGTTCAACATAGAACTTCTAGGCTCTTGTTGTTAGGTGTTGTCAAGCTGATTCTGACTCCTGATGATCCCGTATGTACAGTTGTACTGATCCATAGGGTCTCCATGGCTGTGACCTTTCAGGAGCAAATTTCCAGGCCTGTCCTCTGAAGAAACTCTGGGTGGGCTTAAACCACCAGCTTTTTGGTTAGTTGAGTGCTTAACTGTCTGTGTCACCCTGGGAATTCTAGAACTACTATTATTGTTATATGTCATTGAGTTGATTCCAACTCATTGCGACCCTGTAAGGGTTTCCATGGAGTGGCTGATGAGTTTGAACCACTGACCTTGTGCTTAGCAGTACAGTGACTATCTTACAGCACCACACCAGGACTCCAGAATATTATATGACCCAGCAATTCCACTCTTAGGTATATATACGCTCAAAGGCTTGAAAGCAGGGATTTAAAACAGATACTTGTACACCAATGTTTATTGTAGTATTAGTCACAATAGCCAAAAGGTGAAAACAGTCTAAGTATATATCAACAGGTGAATGGATAAATAAAGTGTGATATAAACATACAATAGGGTACATGTGTTATTCATCCATAAAGAGAAATGAAGTGCTGATACATGCTATGCTGAATGAAATAATTCAAACACAAAAGGACAATATGAAGTATCTAAAATATGTAGATGCTTAGAGACAGAAGCTTACCAGGGGTGGGAAGGAGAGGGAATGAGGAGTTATTGTTTAATTGTTGCTGTTGTTAAGTGCTGTCAGGTCAGTTCTGACTCATAGCGACCCTGTATAAGGTTTCCAAGGAGCAGCTGGTGAATTTGAGGCACCAAACTTGCAGTTCAAACTGACCTTGTGGTCCAGTGCATTATCCCACAATGCCACACTAGGACTCCAAGTGTAATTAATGTCATTGAATTATACACTTAAAAATGGTTGAGATGACAACTGTTTGGTTGTATATATTTAGCCACAATAAAAAAATTAAATAAAAAAGCAGTCACCTTAGGCTCTTCCTCATCAAGTAGGGAGAAACAAGGCCTCCCGAGCATTTCAGTGAAAAGTGGTATCTTAGGCTGAGTTTTCTAAAGAAGCAAACCCAGTGAAACTTATGTATAAAGAGAAGTTTATATTAAGGAAATAGCTCACAATTAAAGAATTCCAGGTCCCTAGAGGAAAAGAGAGCAAACCTTTCCTGCTTGTCCATTATATTGGGAGCAGACCACACCCCCAAGGAAACATCCTTTCAATTGATTGGCTGCTCATAGCCACTCATCATAGAGTTAACTATGGTTGCTCATAGCTAATCATCATAGAGTTAACAACTATCAACTTCCAAACCACTGAAAAGCCTGACCCCGTCAAGTTGACACAGAACCTCAACTATCACAAGTGGAGATGTGGGTACCTGCTGAGTAGTCCAGTGCTGTAACAGGGCAAGGGAGGGAAAGCAGATGGGTGGCGTGGGGATGTGCTCAGCAGATATGTAGAGGTTGAAGACTGGAGGATGGGGAAAGGAAGTGGGCAGACTGGTTACCTTCAACGTGAGTGACGTCAGCTTCATGTCTTCTCACCTGTTTAGGGGGCCTGGCGGCTGTGATTTACACGGACACCTTGCAGACAGCGATCATGCTGGTGGGGTCTTTCATCCTGACTGGCTTTGGTAAGTGGGGCTGGAGCAGGCTGAGGAGGTGGGAGCAGAAAAGAAATGGTTGCCATGGAGTCTTTGTCAGAATATACATGGTTTCATAGGGTTTTCAGTGACTGATAGTTTCTCAAATAGATCACCAGTCACTTGACTGGATTCTCTTGTTTCTCGAGCTGTCTCAGAGGGAACATTCTATGAAGAGCTCAGGACTTCCAAATGTTGATTTTGTTTTGTTTTGTTTTGTTTTGCTACTGATGCTTTCCAGCTTTTCATGAAGTAGGAGGGTACCAAGCCTTCATGGAAAAGTATATGAATGCCATTCCAACCATGGTTTCTGATGGAAACATCACTGTCAAGGAAGAATGCTATACTCCGAGACCCGATTCCTTCCACATCTTCCGGGACCCTCTCAAGGGAGACCTCCCATGGCCTGGACTCATCTTTGGGTTGGCCATCCTTGCCATGTGGTACTGGTGCACAGATCAGGTATCCATGCCGGGAGTGGAGGGGTTCTTCCCTGAGACACTGAAGTAAACCTAATTGGTCTTGGCTTGTGGGGTTTGGAAAGGTAGGACAGAGCTCACCTGGTCAGGAGGCCACTGAGCTCTGCCAACATGGGTGTACCTTGCCAATGACCCAGGATAGGAGGCTGAGGTAGCAGGAGCTGTAGTGGGGACCCTGGCCAGCACTCCTCCCTCACTGGGTTTTACCTGACAGGTTATTGTACAGCGCTGCCTCTCAGCCAAGAACATGTCTCATGTGAAGGCTGGCTGCACCCTGTGTGGGTACCTGAAACTGCTGCCCATGTTCCTCATGGTGATGCCAGGCATGATCAGCCGCATCCTGTACACAGGTAAAGCTCTGTGGCTCTGCTTCCTTTCTTGCCCCCTCTACTTGCCCCCTCTACTTTCTTGCCCCCTCTATTTCTTTTCTTGCCATATTCTTGCTGTAATTTTAGTCTCCTGATGTACGCTGAGGTGCTTGGAAATGGTGGCATTTCAGTGTTTCTCAAGTTGTCAATTGTTTCATCTTTTTCAAATCTTTTAAAGTTCTGACATGCCTGCAGCTGTTGTGTTTTCTACCCAAGGTTTACTCAATTACTGCTTACCTCTTTACATCTTTAAAGTTCTACCCAACAGCCCTGCCATTGCAGAATTTTCTCTTTTGTCTGGGCATTCAACCCTATTTGTATGAGCTGCTGCTAACAATAAATCTCAATATTAGGAGCTACAAGTCATAGTGATTTTCACTGGGAGGAAGAGAGGGGTCATTATCACTGCTCAGCTGCAGGGTAACTAGTCTAAGGACCATGTCTCCTTCTTCCTGGTCCTCTTAGCATTTCCTTGTTTATTTCCCTGTGATGCACAGGTCTGCAGGGAAGGAGCATAGCATGTGCTTAATTGGCAGCTACACCTTTGGTAGAGCCATTGTAGGCCTTGAGCATGAAATGTCCTACTTGAATCTTGCTTTAAGAAGATAGAATTTGGAAAGATTTTCCCAAGGTCTGATGGCTAACATGACTCTTCCTCTCACCCCAGAAAAAGTTGCCTGTGTCCTTCCCTCGGAATGTGAGAAATACTGCGGCACCAAGGTGGGCTGTACCAACATTGCATACCCAACCTTAGTGGTGGAGCTCATGCCCAATGGTAAGAGTCAGTTATTGCTAATGGGAGATCAATTGGGCTCAGCTTGCACATAGATTTCTGTGGGCTTTCTGGGGCAAAGCTGTTTCTGAGATTGGGGGTGAGGGTGAGGGGAAGTAAGGGCAGTAGGGAAAGCCTCATTTTGGATGTCCTCAGGTTTTGAACATGTCTTCCCTCAGTGAGATATATGGTTTGGTTGGGCTCTATGAGTTGTCAAACTTGAAAAGTAGGTCAGCCGTGATCTTGTTAAGGAAAAACATGACTATTTCATGCTCATCTGGAAGGTCTTTTGAAGCTCCCGAACAGATGTTAATGTAAGTCCTAGGTCTAAGGGCATTATATCAGTACAATGAATTGACTTTTTGGCTGTTCCAAAGAAATACCTGGAGAAAAAGACAAAAGTGATTTTTAGCTTTAGAGTGAGGAACTTAAAAGTTTGAAACAAGAGAGATTCTTATCATAAGGAATGAGTTATCCCAGGAGATTGAGTATTTAACCTTGAGTCCAGAAGAGTTACAGTTTGGGGAATGATGTGTGAGCCTCTGTCCATGTTTCATGGTAAAGAAAAATCTCCTAATTCTGGCTCATTGGAAACAAGTCTGGTTAAGTTAGGGGCTTCAGAAGAACAGAATTTCAAAGGTATTCATTAGGAAAATTTTAAATCATCTTATGAAATTTTATTACTGAAATGAGAGACCATCTAGTTCAATACCTTCACTTTGCCATTGAGGAAACTTACAGAAGCAAAGGACTTTTTCAAGACTATACAGCAACTAAGTGTCTACCAGGTTGGCTTGCTTAACTGTGCTTTAAGCTGGAATTGAAGAATTTGGGAGGGTTTTATTATTATTATTGTTTTAACCACAGACTTGATGTGTGACCTTGGACAAACCATTTGCATTTAAAGTCTATGAAAATGGAAGTAATAGTTAACTATTCCACTGAGCCAGCCTGTTTAGTAATCAAGTTTTGCACTTAGCAAGAGCCACAATGGTTTTTTTAGAGTTCTGGCTTAGATTACAATGGCCTCTGTTAGGTGTGTTTATTTCTTTTTATTAGCAGACCTGGGGTAAGGAAAGCATGTCTCAGTATTGTGCTAGAGTGGGTGGTACACACAAAAATATGTGTGGCACAGAGAACACTGAAAAACTGTGTTTACAAGGGGCCATTCCCTATCCCTCTGCTTCAATCTGATAGCTGTGAATACAAAATTTACCAATGACCGCCCTGTTCAGTCAAAGAGATAGTTTTCATTCCTCATCTTACTTGACCCCTCAGCAGCATTCAACATTATTGATCACTTGTCCTTGAATGACACTCACCCCTTGGATTCATTGTACTATACTCTCCTCTTTGTCTTTTTCATACATCCTTTTCAGCTGCTCCTTGTTCTAGGTGAAAAAAAAAAAAAAAGACCCCAAATTCAAGCATAATGGGACAAAGACAATGACTATCATCCTGGATGAGGGAAACCATCAGCATGTACACAGTACAGAGGCCAAAAGGGAGTTCACTGGTGTATGGCCACGGGACTAATTATAGATCATGGGGGGCGGGGGAAGGAAATCATCACAAAATCATGATAGGTGTCAGGTCAGGTCAATTCATCACTGTCAAAGGTGGGACTAAAGAAGCAGGGGACGAATGATGATTGGAATTTGTATGCAATTGCAGATTAGAAAAGTTTACAGGATTGGTTCTTGGGCTTTGACCATCTGGCTACTTGGTGGACAGAGTATGACTCATAACCTTGCAGACCTGAGGCATAGTCACCAGGACACCAACTTTTAGCATAGACTAGATTAATATGCTGCTATGATGTCATATAACAACAACAATTTTTGGTAAATCATTAAGTTTCTGTACAGCCTTAGGATAAAACTACCTCTCCCTGAGAGTTGTAATCTCCTTTCAAACACACTCTACCTGTGGGCAAAACTGCCTCTTCCTGCTTTCCCATGGTCACATTGCTGGTTTAAAGATCAGAAAGAACTTAAAAGGAGTTTGCATTCATGTGAAAACTGAAAATGGAGTTCGGGGTCCCACTGTAGACTGCAGCCCTTCACAAACCCAGTGCTTTAGAATTTAAGCTCTAATACATTCTTGTGATCTCATTTTCAGATTTAGCCTTTTCTATTTCAACTGTAAATGTTCTCTCAAATTCTGTCTGTTTTGCTTTCTAAATAGCTCTTGTTTTCATCTACTTTTTTCTATTTTTACATTCATAACCCTACTTTGATATGTCATTATTTATTGCCTGGATCACTATGTTAAAAAAAAAATTTTTTTTTGAGTGAATTAATGACTGAGGATTTGATCATACTGTGGTACAGAGATGAGAATTCTATCTCAGCTTAGCATTTACCTGGTGAAGTAATCCTCCACAACTGGCAGAGCTAGAACTAGGAGCAGATCCTATTAATTTCTTGAAATGGACTTCAGTTGTAGCCACTGAAAATGAGGGAGCTGGAATAAATAATCTTTATAACTCCTTCTGTAGCTCCAATAGTCAATGATCCAAATTATAAAAACCCAGAAAGAACTATGAGCTCCCTGACTTTCATCTTCAAAAACTCCTAACAAATGGCAAAGTAATTGGAAAAGACATTCTTCATCTTTGCAAGACTACAGATAAAATTGTAAAATTACTTATGGATAAAAATCTAAGAGAAATGACAGAATAATGTTCCAAAAATGATCTCAAGAACCAGGAATGTTGAATAAAATCTAACATGCTGAAATTTAATAGCAGTATAAGTCAAATTCCATATATTAGCTCCATCCTAACTGTACAAGAGCATTATGAGATACTAAGGATGTTAACAACCTGAGATATGCAGATGATACACTTGCTTGCTGAAAGTGAAGAGGACTTAAAATACTTACTGATAAAGAGGAATGACTACAGCCTTCAGTATGGGTTGCACTTCAAAGTAAAGAAAACAAAAATTCTTACCATTGTACCAATAAATAACATTCATATAAATGGAGAAAAGATTGAAATTGTCAAAGACTTCATTTTGCTTGGAACAACCATCAGCACTCATGGAAGCAGCAGTTAAGAAATCAAATGATGTATTGCATTAGTCAAATCTGCTGCACAAAAGATGTCAGTTTGAGGACTAAAGTGCACCTGACCCAAGCCATGGTATTTTCAATAACTTTATATGCATGTGAAAGTTGGACAGTGAGACTGCAGAAGAATTGCTGCATTTGAGCTATGGTGTTGGAGGAAATATTAAAAGTACCATTGACTACCAAAAGAACAAACAAGTCTATGTTGGAAGTAGTATAGCCAGAATGTCCTTTGGAAGCCAAGATGGCCAGACTTTGGACATCTTATCAGGAGGGATCAGTCACTGGGGAAGGATATTATGTTTGGTAAAGTGAAGGGTCAAAGAAGGAGAGGAAGACCCCAATAGATGAACTGGCACAGTGGCAACAGCAATGGATTTGAGCTTAGCAATGATTGTGAGGTTGGCACAGGACTGGTCAGTGTTTCATTCTGTTGTGCATAGAGTCACTATGAATTGGCGTCTAACAACAACTCATTGGCATCAAACAACAACAAAGGATGTTTAACTTGGAGAAGAGAGAGTTGTCTCTGAACCTGTGAAAGATGGTAAAGTGGTTGAAGGGTTAGCCCTGTTATGTGGATCCAGTGGATAGCCCAAAGACTATCTAATATGAGGCAGATTTCAGGCAAGTCAGTACTGTCCAAGAAGGTGCTGGATTTCCTATAGCTGAAGGGTTTGAGAAGAAGAAATGTTGTGGAAGGGACTCATGTATCAGATAGATAGTTGGCCCTAAAGTGATGTTTACTTCTGAGGCAGTGTATTATGCAACCAGATGGTGGTTCCTTAGTATGGTCTGGACTTCCAGCTCTAGCAAGTGAAACTTTATGGCCTCATTGACATGGGAGGAGAAGAGAGATTATAGTCAACCATGCTTGCCATAGCAGAGAAAACTTTTAAAATATCAACACCTTATTCTGATTTGGGTAGGTGTTATATCATTTAACCCACCAAAAAATGATTTGAATATTGAAAAAGCTGAAAATAGAACCTCATCTTTTGAATCTTAGTTTAAATCTGTTTCTGCTATATCATGAATCTTTTGGGTGAGAGATCTATATATAAGCCCCCTCCAATGGATATTCACACCCTCCCCCCACTACCACCACCACCACCACCACCATCATCCAATTGCAAAAGTATTTACTTCATATGTATTTGTCTCCAGTTCTTGGCTGCTCTGGGACTTACACAATCATTTAAAGCCACAGTCCATTCATTTAGGGGCAGATAAATCAGAGAACACAGCATGATTTCAGATCTTCGTACTTTCTCAGCACAAAAGAGCTGAGGTGCTGTCTGTGTTACTCAGAACCTCGTTTGTTTTTTTCTTCCAGGACTGCGAGGCCTCATGCTGTCAGTCATGTTGGCCTCTCTTATGAGCTCCCTGACCTCCATCTTCAACAGCGCCAGCACCCTCTTCACCATGGACATCTATACCAAGGTTCGCAAAGGTGCATCTGAGAAGGAGCTCATGATTGCAGGAAGGTAAGTGCTACTTCCCTTTGCCAGGCACTAAAACAGCTTGAGTGATCAGAGATGCTCTGTCTGTACAACCCCTCAATCCACAGAAGATTTTCAGATGCCTGGGTGGCATCTGAAAATTGGAGATCATCTTGTTAGTTCCTCTGGAGCAAGAAGTAATAGCAAAGATTATTTAATCCAGTCCTCATGTTATTGATGAGCAAAAGAATGCCTAGAGAAGGATCCTGCTTAAATTCATGCAGTGGACTGTGTCAGAATAGACTCCATGGTAGACTGAGTCCATGCCCAAAGTCCTTTATGTCTCATTCTCAACCAGCAGCTCTCCATACTGGTTTTTATTTTCTTGTGAGGCCCAAACTCTTCAGATACCTTGACCCCTTGATGCAACCTTTTGCAGAACCATTGTGAGAGACAAGTGAGATGGTACTTGTAAACATGTTTTGTAGTGTCTAAAACACAATGCTATGTGCACATTTACTATCATCTGAAGGGTTAATAGTCACAACAGGATGCCAAAGCAGCAAAAGCAGCAACAAAGCAATTCTACATGGGCCAGTTGTATTTATTATCACAATTATTCATGGAGCAGATACTCTGGGTAGAGGTTTAACAGAAGCTCTTCTGTGTCTATGCCTGGGCCCAAAGCAGGTCAGCTTCTTCAGATCAACAAGTCCAGAAAAACAATCCAGTTTGGTACCCAGGAGGGGCAGGTGTTTCCACTTCATAGGTCTCATCAGAGAATGGGGTAAAGGAAGGAAAGGAGAAATGACAGGAAATTCTCAGGTGAGAGAACACCTATCACTAAGGAATCAGAGGAAGTAGTTCCATTAGCTTGATTGTGTCTCCCCCCCCCACAGGAAGTTCACTGACATTTCCTGTTATTTATAAGACTTAGGGTGGAGAACAGGAAGAGAGCCAGCCACTTTATGCTCAGGCCTGGAGCCCATGGATCTGAGATTATGTTGAGGTTGACTTTTACGGTTACATAAAAAGATTTCCAAACTCAGCTATGGGGATTGTAAGTGTGACCAGAGACTCAGGGAGGGAGAAATGAGAATGGCAGGCTGAGTCAGAGGTGGTGGCTCCTTGGCAAGGAAGAACCTTTGTTGAGTTTAATGTGATGGGCAGAATTTGGTTAAGTAAGTGGGGCACTGGAAAGGGAATTCCAAAGGGAGAAATATATGAGCACAAATATATGAGAGTCAGCTGAAGATTCTTTTACCTTACATTTGGGTAAGTGAGGTCAAGGAACACAGCTTTCTTTCTAATTAAATCAAAAGCACAAGTAAGAAGAGCTTATAAGAGTATCCTCCAATCTTATCAGAACTTGAAGTGAAACTCAAGAAGGAGAGAGTTAGAAGTACCTGATGATGTCTCTATCTAGGAAAGAAAAAAAAAAAAAAAAAAGAGTCGGAACCAACTCTGCAGCACTTACGAACAACAACAATATCTAGAAAAAACTCAGTCCATTCTGACTCATAGCGACTCTATTTAGGAGTTCCAAGGCTATAAATCTTTATGGGAGCAGACAGCCTCATATTTCTCCCACAGAGTGGCTGGTAGGTTTGAACTGCTTGTTGTTAGTCTAGTGCTTACCTGGCAGTGCCACAACTGTTCCTTTATACACCCTGCTTGACTTATATTTAAAAATTTATTATAAGGAAAAAGAAGGAAAAGAAAGTACAACTATTACTATTATGAATAGTTTTTGAAACTTATTTATTGAATGTCTGCTATTTGTTAGAGTCCTAGTGTGGCAGTGTAGGGATAAGCACTGGACTGGTAAGGTGTGTAGTCTAAACCCACCAGCTGCTTTTGAAAACCCTAGTCAGGGTCATTATGAGTCAGAACCAACTTGACGGCACACAGCCACAACAATAATAACTTTTTGTGAAGAGTTTCACTATTACTGACCCTTATTTCAGTCTTGTGAGGTTGCTCATAGTTGTTTCCGGAGGAGGAAATTGAGGCTCAGAGACTATTTTAGTCAGGATTCCTTAGAAAAATAGAGCTCTGCATGGTGAAAATGATTAAACACTTCTAAACAGAATCCACCCATAGGTGCTTCAGCAGAAATGATCTATATCCAATAGGTCATTGCCAATAAAAACCCTGTGAAATGTAGGTCTACACCATAAATCAGAATTGACTTGATGGTAACTGGTTTTAATATATACATGTCTATCTATCTATCTATCTATCTATCTATCTATCTATCTATCTATCTATATTAAGGAACTGGCTCACACAATTGTGTGTGTGGCTGAGAGGCTGACAAGTAAAAAATTTGTACATCAGATGACAGGCTGGTGATTCCTGCAGTTTTTGTGCCCCCAAATCTCAAGGTCAGACAGTGGGAAGAGCAAAGATTGATGAGTTCTGGAAAAAATATCTTTTTATAGTTTTGAGCAACTTCATAATATCATCTAAACAATTATGTTAGACCAAACAACTGGGTACCATAACCTAGCCAAATTGACACATACCTTAACCATCACACCCTAAGGAACTCCTAAGCTCATGAGCACAGACCTAGCCACTGGGGACTACAGCTGAGAGTGAAGTAACCAGCTGGTCTGAAGTGTGGGGAGGTGTGCATGAACTCCCAAACTTGCAGATGATATCTATTGGACCTACCTTGGATAGCTAGCTGACCAGAACTCAACCAGGTGAAGATAAAGAAGTCTGATACTGTTGTTGTTATGTGCCGTGGAGTCGGTTCTGACTCACAGCGACCCTGTACAGGATTTCCAAGGCTGTAAATCTTTATGGGAGCAGAAAGCCTCATCTTTCTCCTGCAGAACAGCTGGTAGTTTTGAACTGTTGACATGGCGGTTCGCAGCCCGAATCATAACCACTATGCTACCAGAGCTCTGATACTGTAAGCAAGCATAAATTGCTACAATTTGATGAATTGGACCTTTGTTTATAGATGCAATTGCTCAAAATTCCACCTGAAATGGAAGGGTTCTTCATATCAAATATCAAGCTTTTCTTAGTGCACTGGGTTGATAAGGATGGGCTGAAAATGAAGAGGATGTAAAATACTGATGAAGATAAAAAAACCACAGCCTTCGGCATAGGTTGCACCTCAATGTAAAGAAAAAAAAAAAATTCACCACTGGACCAATGAATAACATCCATATAAATGGAGAAAACATTGAAGTTGTCAAAGACTTTAATTTGCTCTGATCAACCATTAACACTAATGGAAGCAGCAGTCAAGAAATCAAATGATGTATTGTACTGGGCAAATCTGCTGCACAAGACCTCTTAAAGTGTTGAAGAGCAAAGATGTCAGTTTGAGAACTAAGGTGCACCTGATCCAAGCCATGGCATTTTCAATAACTGTGTATGCATGTGAAAGTTGGACATTGAGTAAAGAAGACCACAGAAGAATTGATACCTTTGAGTTATGGTGTTGGAGAAGAAAGTTAAAAGTACCATGGACTACCAAAAGAACAAACAAATCTGTGTTGGAAGAAGTACTGCCAGAGTGTTCCTTGGAAGCCAGGATGGCCAGCCTTTGTCTCTCATACTTTGGACATACTATCAGTAGGAACCAGTCCCTGAAAAAGGTATCATGTTTGGTAAAATGTAGGGAAGAGGACTGATTTTCATGATGGCAGTAGCAATGGGTTCAAATGTAGCAATGATTGTGAGGTTGGCGCAGGACTGGCCAGTGTTTCATTCTGTTGTGCATAGGGTTGCTGTGAAACAGTGCCAACTTGATGGCATCTAAAAACAACAACAACAAAACAGAAGCCATAGAATGGAAGCAGGATAACTATTGTTACAGGGTGGGGAGTGTAATCATTGAGATGAAACAAAATGTATGATTTGTTGAAAGTGAAAAAGAAAATACACCCTTGGGAAACTTTTTGCTCCTAAGGCCGTCAATGAATTTAATGAAGCCTGGTAGTGTAGTGGTTACGAATCGGGCTGCTAACCTCAAGGTCGGCAGTTCAAAACTACCAGCTGTTCTATGGGAGAAAGATGAGGCTTTCTGCTCCTGTAAAGATTTGCAGCCTCGGAAACCCTGTATAGGATCACTATGAGTTGGAACTGATGCCATGGTACTTAACAACAATCCTGAAGTGGAAGGAGTTCTGGTAGTGGTTATGAATTGGGCTGCTAATCTCAAGGTCAGAAGTTCAAAACTACCATGTTTCTGTGGGAGAAATATGAAACTTTCTGCTCCATAAAGGTTTATAGCCTCGGAAACCCCATGCAGGATGGCCATGAATTGGAGCTGACTCCACAGCACATAGCCACCATCACCACCATCCTGATGTGTCGCTGTGGGTTAATGTACTGGGCTGCAAAATTGGTTTGAATGCAAGGTTGGCAGTTCTAGCTCACCAGCTGCTCCTCGAAAACCCTATACAGGGTTGCTATGAGTCCGAACCTACTCAATGGCACTTAACAACAATAACAAAACACCCATATTATGGAGGATCAGTTGCTTTACTTAAGTAATCTGATTTGATCACATATAACAACTTCATAATAGCATCTAAACAATTATGTTAGACCAAACAACTGGGTACCATAACCTAGCCAAATTGACACATACCTTAACCATCACAGAGGTTAAGCAACGAGTTCTATGTCTTACAGAGATAATTATCTGTAGATTATAATTGAATAGGACTGTCTGGTTTCAAAGTCCATATTCTTGTTCCTGGTATGGCTCTGTGGGATTAAAGCAATGGACCACAAGGTTGGTTTGAACCAAAAGGTTGGTAGTTCAGACTCACCAGCCACTCCCTGGAGAACCCTATACAGGGTCGCGATGGCACTAACAACAACATAATCTACTGAAACTCAAATTGAAATACTAGTATGGTATAGTGACTGGGTCTAGGTGATTAGTGCATGGTTCAGAGGTACAGACAACTTTCCTGAAGGCAGAATTTGGAAGATAAAAAGCCTAGGGAATGAATTTACTAATTATTTTTCCTTGCTGAAGTCATATTTAGTAGTGAGATTTTAGTGTATGTATGTTATGTGTATATCCACACATATAGATATATGTTGTTGTTAAGTGCCATCAAGCCAGTTCTGACTCATAGTCACCCTGTATAGGTACATCTTTGCAGAAGCAGAAATTCTCATCTTTCTCCTGTGAAGCGACTGGCAGGCTCAAACTACTGACCTTGCGGTTGGCAGTCCAGTGCTTATCGTGTGGCACTACCACTTCCCCACATATGCATAAGCATACACATACATATACAAGGCACTGTTGGATCAACTCTGGACTGCAATCCACCAGGTCAGCAATTTAAACCCACCAGCTGCTCCTCAGAAACCCTATACATGAGTCGCTATGAGTTGGAACCGACTTAACAACAGCATACACATATAAACCTATAGGCACATACACACACAGTAATGTGTATTTACTCACATAGAGTTATTTTCTGACACTATTGTGGGGGCTTTTATTTCAGGTTGTTCATCCTGGTCCTGATTGGCATCAGCATCGCTTGGGTGCCCATTGTGCAGTCGGCACAAAGTGGGCAGCTCTTTGATTACATCCAGTCCATCACCAGTTACTTGGGACCACCCATTGCAGCTGTTTTCCTGCTTGCTATTTTCTGCAAGAGAGTCAATGAATCTGTATGTATCAACCAGAATAAAGACTAAAGGAATAGGAAGCCACTGATTGTCAAAAGAGAAAGCCTTAGGAAGTTGTATCAGTCCTATTCACATAAACTCAAGGACAAGAAGCAATTTTTGAGAGACAAATGAGTGGGGAATATGTTCTTAATACATTCATCTAGTGGACACTTTCAGCACCAGGCTTGGGGTGAGGCATCAGAAGCACAAGGTGTAGGAAACCTGGTTCCTGCCCTGAACAAGCTCCTAGTTCAAAGAAGTGGATGAGTAATTACCCTGCAGAGACTCTCCTCAGTGCTGCAGCCACAGCAAGGAAGGGGAGTGCCCACCAAGTTCTCTCTGGGGAAGGAGAGTGGGACATTCAAGTTAGAACAAGGTTACCAGGAAGGGAGACATCTGTGCTCTGAACATATATGGCATGCTTAAAGAGCAGCTGGTGATTTATTGCTATTAAAAATAATATTTGGCATATCATGAGGTTACCTTTGGACCATCCTTCTATGAGCACACTTTGCCACTGGCTGTCTTAAAATATGACCCAATGTGTTCTGTGAGGCCTTCCGTGGGACATACCTTGTTACAAGAAACCTCTAGGTGCAGACTGACCCCAAATCAACCACCCCAAATCAAACACAAAATATAATGTAAAAACATATAGTTTAGTTTTGTTTTCAAATTAAAAAGTGACTTTGGATCCATAAAATGGGATGAAGAAGGAAGATTTATTTATATTTTCATGGAAAAGTTCCTTCTCCTTCATACCCAAAGCACCCAATTTCTTTCTCCATGTCTTTTAAGGAATACACATTAATTCACAAATAATTGTTTTTACACAAATGTAAATCGACAGGCTGGTAGTGATGCTAGCAGAGGGCAGAGAGGTTCAAAGTATTTTTTTAAAGTGAAAAAGAATGATGAGTTGAAAATACATACCAGTTATCAAATACTTTGTTGCTGTTTGCTCCCACCTAGTTGCTTCCTGGTGTGGCACTGTAGGAAAAGCACTCAACCGCAATGTTGGCAGTTGAAACTCACCAGCTGCTCCTCAGAAGGCCTATACAGGGTTGGCCGGCACTTAACAACAGCAACAACAGTTGACTTTGACTCATAGCGACTTTGTTATGTACAATAGAAAGAAACGTTGCCTAGCCCCACATCATCCTTTTAACTGTCAGCATGTTTAATTCCATTGTTGCAGGTCCTCTCATCAGGACCTCCCTTGTTCTCATTTACCCTCTGACGCACCAAACACGATGTCCTACTTTAGTGACTGATCCTTCCTGGTGGTGTTTTCAAAGCAAAGGAGTCAGACAGCATTCGTTGTGATCCATAACGTTTTCATTGACTAATTTTTGGATGTAGATCACTAGGCTTTTCTTCTGAGTCTATCTTAGTCTGGAAGCTGCACTGAAATCTTTTCACTATGGGTTGACCCTGCTGATATTTGAAATTCTAGTGGCAAGCCACTACAGGACTACACCAAAATGACAGATGGGTGGTGGATAAGACACTTTACCCCACTACATTATGAATCCTGTCTTTTTGATACAGATAAAACCATGTCCCTGAAACATGATAGATATTCCTACTGAAGGCCTGATAGAATGCTCTTGACCATATCCGGAATCCAGTGTCCTGACTCTAGAAGGCCTGGAGCTATAATCTTCACCAGCTTTAGTCCCCTGCCTCGGTTTCCCTAGGAAAGCCAAAATGCTCATCTGTGTTGTGTGTGACATTAATTAATCTAGGGTTTTCTTTTACAGGGTGCCTTCTGGGGATTGATCTTAGGATTTTTTATTGGGATATCCCGTATGATTGCTGAATTTGCCTATGGAACCGGGAGCTGCATGGAGCCCAGCAACTGCCCCACAATTATCTGTGGTGTGCACTACTTATACTTTGCCATCATCCTCTTTGCCATTTCTATCATCACCATCATTGTCGTCTCCCTCTTTACTAAGCCCATTCCAGATGTGCATGTGAGTATTCATTTGGGAGGCCTGTCCTGCTCTTGTTTCTTGTTCACCCTGCAGAGGTCATCCTCATGGGTCTTGGCTCGGTTAGACATGTTACACTCACACAACTAAAACAGGCCTTAGTTGCCATGTAGAAGGATACAGGACAGTGTGTCAGCAAGGTCATGTCAGGCATGTGTGGTCAGTGGAAGTACTCACACCAGTTCACACTTTGGTCCCATTCCCCAGGTTAACAGCTCTGGTACATGGGCAGGTTCAGGGGCCTTCCTGGTTCAGAGAGCTAGGCTCCAAATAAAACCTGGTATTTCTTAACAGTCCCATGCTCATTAATGTCCAGGGGTCCTGATAAAGGACAGTCCTGGTTATAAGAATGGCCACATTCTGGCAATCCCAAAGTATGATATCTCATTTGAATCCACCTCCCCAATTAAACCAATGAATCTAACACATTCCAATTGGTTCAAAACTTCAGTCTTCTTTGACTTTAGATAATTCCCTTGGTTTAAGGTTCATTTATAGCTCCTCCAATCCAGTTTATCAATTAAGGGCCATATTTACCATAAACAATGCAGTCTAATAACCCAACAGAGCTGACATTCCACTTTTTTGTAGGTTACCAAGGAAACCAGAGCTAGAAAGTTAATCCAGGGTCATATTTACCCATAGAAAAGGAGAAATGGGTTTTGCTAACACTTTACACACACACATACACACACACACAAATATAGGCACCCACAGAACTCCTAAGAGGCTTGAAACCCCAATACCAAATTTTCAGGAACTGTGATCAACCTCTATGCCAAACAAAGACAGCTTTCGTATGGTCTGTTGGCCAGATCTGTGATGGGTCTTCTTTGTGTGGTATCAATTGCTTCCCCAGGTCTCAGTATTTTAATGTATCACAACCCCAAACACATTTAGCTTCATACTTCTGCTTGTAGTAGAAAAAGCAATGTTTGGGATGAAAACCTTGCATTGATTTTCAGACTTCTCTAAGTTTCTGGTTCATGCTCCAGATTGTGTCAATAGAAATTGTGCCTCTAGTTCTACCATGATCCAAAATGATTTATGATTTTACAGATTCTTCTCCCACAGCAATGACAAACACAGCACAAAAATCTGATCTAACACTATAGGTCCAAACAAATAGCTATCTAGTCTTGTTTCTCAGTACCAATGTTAATTAAAAGGAACAAACTAATTCATCATAGGTAACAAGAGTTCACTCATTTAGAAAACCAAAAATCCCATTGTCATTGAGTCACTTCTGACTTATGGTGACCACATTTCTATATTCAAGGCAGTCCCTTAGTCTCTGTCTCTACATATATCCTAAGGTCTACATGTATGATTTACACCTAAATACCTAACATATTTAAAGATAATGTTGAGGATAGGACTGTTATCTGCATTATTGCTGAGACTGAGAGCCTATATGCCCTTTCCATTCTTAACGCAGATCCTTTTTTCTCCTAGTTTCTTGGTGTGAAACATTATTTGACTCTTTCTGTTGATATGTCTTACTTTCTCTGCAGCTCCACCGTCTGTGCTGGAGTCTTCGCAACAGCAAAGAGGAGCGAATTGATCTGGATGCAGAAGAGGAGAACATCCCAGAAATCCCAGAGGAGACCCTTGAAATCGGTGACTTATGACTCTCAAACTATTTCCCAGCTCTAAAAAAATTACTCCTACAGTAACAGCAAGACCATTTTCTGAAGGCTTTGCTAAATACCTTTCTTCAAAGTTAGCTCTCTCTCCTAGAGTGAAGTGAGGAATGAGATGGCGATGAGATAGATGGATGGGCTTTGGGAAGTTCCCTCTGAGGCCTGGTCCAGGGGAAGAGGAAGGTGCAGAATCATCTCACCTGCTCCGCTTTCACATTTTACAGTCATCAGTGATCAGGTGTACATGAGGATCACAGAACCCTACCTTGAACTGGGTCATAGCCAGGGATCAGGGAAAAGTCAGAACTCTTTTAATACAGCCTGTGAACTGATAGCAGATGGAGCCAAAGTTACAATCAGTTCTGTGAACATCAGAAGGATGGGATCGAGGCTCTTGGGATCTTACTTCTCTCTGTCTTACCATATTAGACTTAGAAAATTAAATTTGTCTGGAAGCCTGATGAGATAATGCTTAGTCAGTGATCAGAGAATTATCCTGAGCATGAGGACATGCGTTTCTCAACTTTAGTGTTGTAGCTTTACTACATGGGAGAGGTGCACATATGGGAGGCAGTTATATATATGTGATGTGCTAAGGCATAGGAGGAGCTCAGGGTCATTTGCGCTTGACCTGGTGTGGGATTGGAGGTCTCATCACTCCATCCAAAGGATAGCACTGTCTGCTTCAGAAAATTAAGAAGGGTTGTTGGGTGCCATGGAGTTGATTCCAACTCACAGCAACCCTATAGGACACATAGAACTGGCTCATAGAGTTTCCCAGGCTATGCTATGAGCCCTAGTCCTCTGAAAGTGTCTCTGAAGCTTGGAATGGGACATGGATTAGGGTACTTTGAGTGTTGAGAGGTTTTCATTCAGAAGAAGATTTTTTTAATGCAAAAGGGCAGAATTAAGACTTACAGGTAAAAGGAATGCACCCAATTTCTACTCAGATAGGGCAGAGAAAGAATGTGGTCTATAATCAGGCAGAACAGGGACTGAATTTTGGCTCTTCTACTTACTACCCGGGGCAAGTGATTCTATTTTTTAAGGCTAAGGTTCATCACCTAAAAATATTCGAAATAATATTTGAAATAACTGTTGGAAACACTGGTGAGATGATGTTTGACTATAAGAATGCATATGATCACAGGCATGATTACTATTAAGGAATAGTGTTGTAATTGAGTTGGTTTGGAAAGGCATGCATAGGAAGAGTGAATCTATCAGGGATGCTAGAGAATCAACTTGATGACTTCTGAGTCTCATGACAGCACTAGGATTCTTGATGAACTTGTGGTGCTCTATTAAAACACAACAAACCAAGCTCTCTTGAGGACTTTTACCACCCATGGTTGCAACTTGCATGCTCTGAAGTGTTGAGAAACAGTAGCATGAAAAAAACCTTGCAGCTACGCCATTATCTTCATCACCATCATCATCGTGGATGATATGACCATACCATTTTAATTACAAGCACCTTACCATCGTCTAGGACTGCTGGTGTAGCACTGCAGGATCAGCATTGGATGGAAACCATGAGGTTGGCAGTTCAAATCCACCAACTGCTCCTCTGAAACCCTATATAGGGTCGCTATGAATTGGAACTGACTTGGCAGCTTAACACCAACTACCACCATAGTCAAATGCTTCATTTGACATCACATTATTCTATTTAGGAAGACAATGCAAGGACAGTTCTTTTAATTTTACAGAAAGGAAAATGAGACATAGCGACTCTAAGTGACCCCAGTAACTAGGAATTTCTCAATTGGACTGGTCAGTTAGCCCAGTTTTTTGCTACTTCTCCCATTTCTTCTATTTTGGTGGAGTGATCAAAGGAGAGAGGTATAGGAATGCTTGTTGTGCTTTCTTATGGAAAGAGAATGGAAGGAGATCAACATTTCTTAACACCTTCTATGTAATGGGTGCTCTCTCATTAAATTTTACAATGAAGTGTTAAGTATGGAATTCAACATATACCTGAAGCTAAGATAAATGAAGCACCAAGGTCACAAAACTGGGCTTGGGTCCCAGTCAATTCTGATGTGTTTGTATGCTTGATCACTAAAACTCTTTCCAGTTTTAACATTCTATTAAAAAGAGATGAAAAGAGAAATGGATCCCTGGCCGTAGTGCTGAAAACACAGTGGGCTTAATCTCATAGCCACTGAGCAGCAGGGCTGGGAATTAAACCCAGAGCTCAGAAGACTTGTTTCTCTTGGTGGGCATCCACTTAGAATGTTAGAGCCTGTTTGATGGTTTGGTTCTGTAGTGTTGACATGAACCATCAAATCTGTAGGCTTTAAAAAGTGTTGACTGCTGTCTCTTCTTCTCTCTTCTTTCTGCCCTCTCTTCTTTCTACCTTCTCTTCTCTTCTCTTCTCTTCTCTTCTGCCTCCTGCCTTCTCTCTCCAGCAGATCACTTTCCTCTTCCTCACCCTGAATGAAAGTCTGTAGACAGCAAAAAAAAAAGTGTTGACTGCTATTGCCCCCACATCAGAGCCTGTTCTGTTGAAGTCTTAGAATTTCTAGGTATAGGCAACGTCTCCCAAGTCATTCAGAAATATAGCAAGCAAATATGAGTTCATGTGTTGAGGTGGATTTTTGTGTGTCCACTCAGCTCCCTAGCCAATTATTATTCTTGCACAAATGATTTTCAGTTTGATGCTTACTGTTTTAATCAAAATACATTTCCATTGGGACTGATAGGTTAGCTTGGGATAACTGATCATAAGGACGTAGAATCCACCTAGTAACATTTTTTTGTGTGATTAATATACTTCCTTTGAACTTTTCATACCATTTCCATTCTTCAAACAAGGAAACTGGGGCATTTCTGCTGGTGCTCAATGGTATTGCTTCTCCTTGGAAAGCTTTTCCAGTCACTGTTTCCAGTAATATTTTTATGCCTTTCCTCTGATACAGAAGTTTCTGAGAAGAAGAAAGGATGCTGCCGGCGGATCTATGACCTGTTCTGTGGGCTGGACCAGCAGAAGGGCCCTAAGATGACTAAGGAAGAGGAGGCAGCAATGAAGCAGAAGTTGATGGACACTTCTGAGAGGCCTTTGTGGCGGACAGTCACGAACATCAATGGCATCATTCTGCTGGCTGTTGCTGTCTTTTGCCATGCATTTTTTGCCTGAGTCCCGCTTTTTGCTGCAGACTGTGCTCATGAAGGACAGATTCCCTAACTCTGTCTCCCTTTCATTCCATCCTGTGGTATGGAAGGGAAGTCAGCCCATTGTAAATTTTTCTCAGATGGATAAATATTCACGTATGTAATTACAGGTTAACCAGCTGCAAATCATTAGTCTACTAAGTTCTGTATTTGAAGCCAACATGATACAGTCAGGTGCACATACTAAAGTTGGAACAGGAAATTTTCAGTCAAGGTAGAAAAGAGCAAACTAAGAAACAGAAGGCCTTCAATATTAGATGCCTATTTATCTCAGGTAGATTCAGCATATCAACACTGTTTGCCGTCCTTGAATGTTAAGATCACCTCCCTCACTGTTTTTTTCAAAGCAAACATTTTTTCACATCATATCTCTGTTAAGTTTTTCCTGGCACAAGAAAAATCAGTCTGATAAACTGATGAATGCATTAAAGCTGAGAATGGGAGCTTGATGAGTTCCCTGTGCTGGGTCTTGGCTCTTCTGAGTAGATGCCTGGGGGTGGCAGCACTTCCCCCAAAGGGATGGACCCAGGAACAGTAAGCAAGGGATAATATCCCAAGGGGTTTTCTGGTTTTAAAAGTGTCCATTGTGAGTTTCTCATGTATGGAATTTCACTCATTTTGACATCCATTGTACCTGTAATGTTTTAGCCACTCAGCAATGTTTATTGACAGACTGAATGACAGAGATATTTGTTTATAAATGTGCTTTAGTTTTACATAAGTCTGGTTGAAATTTTCCTGTGGCTGCACAAACTTTATTCTCTGGCAACTATAATGAATCAGAATACATTTACTTCAGACCATTTTTCCTCATGGTGCTGTTGTTCTCCTACGACTTTAGTAACGGGCCCCAGGTCATGTTATAGTGGGAACAAATGTGTCTCCTGGGGGCATTTTTCATGTGTGTGTCAAAGCAGCCACACCCTCTTGCAACACTGAAATCATTTGTGTCCCTGTGACAAAAGTCCTTCCTTTTTAGGTGTCTTGACTGGTGATTATCAACTGATAGAGTAAGTGGTCTCTGTTCCAGGTACTAGTGGTCAGTACTCATAACTGAGAAGAGTGAATCTCTTGAACCTTTTTCCCAGTGACAAAGTCTTTTAATCCACTGTGGAATTTTAATTATTATTGTAATATTATCCCATTGAAGTTAAGAAAAAAAATCACTGACTGATTTTCAGGTTACCTTTGTAAAGAATTGGAACCTGAAATTCTGCAGAGCTAAGGGTGGTCTCTGGGTGTAAAAGTGGTTAAGCAGGTAAAAGGATGTCTTGTTCTTGTGCAAGAAAGCAAGCCCAGGGTACACCGTTTAATGTGTCTGTTCATTCCCCTATAAATAATTCCTTAAACTAGACAGAGCAAAGGGTAAAGTGGAGAATTTCACTTGGCTGGCATTATCTGGTGTGATGCTGTAGGACCAACACTCTCTTGCTAACCACAGTTAGTTCAAACTAGACAGTCACTTCTCAGAAACCTTAAATCGAGTCTCTGTGAGTTGGAACTGACTCGACAGCACTTACACTTAACAACGATAGCATTACCCAAAGTACTCAGTCTTGTGTGGAGTTCATGGCAAGTTTTGTGCTTTGAGAAAATAAAGGGAAAAGTTAGAATGCTTGTGGATGGAGTGGGTGGCATAAAGTATCTAGATTATCCTGGATTCTGTTTCTGACTTTGCCAACGATTCATTGTGTATATTGTATTGTGGTAGATTACTTTATCTGTGTATTTTACCCTGAAAAAATGGGGACCTTGATGCTTGTAGCATCTACCTACCTCCTGTGGGTGTGACCAGATAACTTTGAAAAGAAAATAGTACTTACATACATGAAAGATGCCATTCAGATGCATTGCTAGTCCATAATTGAAATGTGTTCCTTTGATAAAAATAAAAACATTGAAAGTCTGTTATGACAAGGTGTTATCCTTGGTTTTCTGTTCTACAAAGGTTCTAGACAAATACTGAACATATCTGTGGTGATCTTTGTGGTGGCACAAGATATAGATTAGGAAGCAGGAAGTCAAAAGAGTTGAGAAAAGAATTGAATTACTTGGACATTGTTTAAAAATGTATCAAAGTTGGAAGATGATTTAGATAGTAAAACCTCTAGATATGAGGTGACTAACTACCCATACTTAATTGCTGGTCAAAAGGTTGGTAATGTGAACCCACCTAGATGTGCCTTTGGAAGACAGGTCTGGCAATTTGTTTCTGAAATGTACCTCATAGAGTAGCTTTACTCAGCACACATGGGTTCCCCATGAGTTGGAATCAACATGACAGCAACTAACAACTGTCCTATCAGCAATGTAATAGTGTTCCATTAGAAGAGACTGACACTTAGGTGACCAGGGACCAATAAGAGATGGACTACTATAATATCTTCAGAGATGCAGGGAAAAGCTATTTCTTTTCCCTCAAATTCAAGTATGCATTGTATATGGGATAACCAGTCATTGCCATCAAGTTGATTCTAACTCACAGTGACCTGATATGTGCCAGAATGGAACTGTGCTCCATAGAGTTTTCAATGGATGATTTTCCAGAAGTAGATTGCAAGGCTTTTCTTCTGAGGAGCCTCAGCGCAGACTTCACAACTACCAACCTCGGTTAACAGCCAAGCACATTAACTGTTTGTGCAAAATGACTGATTGTGAATCATCAGTTTGTGGAGCTGAAAAATCATGCCCCAATAGGAAAAAAAAAAAGCTTCCTTAAATGTGGATGACTGTTTCAAAAGGAATCCCTCAAAACGAAAAAAACATGGCCTCCTTTCTTGAAGAATGAAGTTTGATCTTGGGACCTTAAACATACCTGGAAGCATTGCCTACATCTGTGTAGCTGAGTCAGGCACTAGTATTCATTTTGGAACTCACCAGAACCCACCTCTCCTAGTGCTGAAACTGCCATCTCCTGGAAGAGGCATTGCAGCTTGGGTCCCATTGTCCTGCTTCACCAAAACAAACCTTGGGAGAAAAACATACGTGTGCTTGGTATGAGGAGAGAGGTTTTTTTTTTTTTTTTTTTTTTTTTTTAAACATCATTGCTCTCTTAAGGAAACTACTCTAATTTCCAAATTGTTTTTGGATTGGTGAAATTGTTTGAATGAAGTACTGTTCCAGAAAGTTCAATGGCTTTGTGGATTGGTGGAGACAGGATTGGGAAGTACAGGCGAGGTTAATGGTACCAGTGTTATTTGATTGGCTCCAAAGGATTCGGGTTGGTGCAGTTCAGTTCCAGAGTCTCAAGTTGCATCCCTAGGCCAGGTGTCTTTCTCAGTTCTATGAGTAGCTCAAAAAATAGGTGATTTGATATAATTAATTCCATACTGACAAAACGATAGCAAATCCCTACCTTATAAAGATAAAGGGAACTTCTTTGTACACAATGCTGGCAAAATAGACATCTGCATTTCAGAACCAGCCAATCAGCATGATTCGGAAATTGTAGCCTGCATCAGAATCCCCTGGAGGGCTTGTTGAATCATGGGTTCCTTGGACCCACCCCCATAATCTCTAATTCAATAGATCTGGAATGGAACCTGAGAACTTGCATTTCTAACAAGCTCCCAGAAGATTTTGATGATGTTAATCCAGGTACTTGAAAACCCAGTTTAGAATTAACTTCCAAAGGAGTCTTATTTTATTATTAAAATAGGCAGAATGGAAGGGACCTCTTTCCCATGTCCTCCGATGAGAATTTTAGTGATGTCTTAAGACCAAATATCTTTTCTGAAACATAGAGTTTATAAGTGTAGCTGAGTTATACTGGAATGTTAAATGTAATGTGTCCCTCCTATCACTCCCTAAATATGTGTTGAATTCCTGACGTTTGTACTATGACATGATCCTGATTCGAAATAGTGTTTTCTTGTTGTCGTTGTTAGGTGCCATTGAGTTGGTACCAACCCATAGCAACCTTATTCACAGCATAATGAAACACTGCCTGATTCTGGGCCAACCTCATTACTGTTGCCACGCTTGAATCCATCAATGCTGCTACTTGGCCAATCCATCTCATTGGGGGTCTTCCTCTTTTCCTCTGACCCTCTATCTTACAAAGCATGATATCCTTCTCCAGCAACTGGTCCCTCCTGACAATATGTCC